AAAAAAAAAAAAAAAAAAAAAAAAAAAAAAGAAAAGAAAAACTAGTGAAGAAGGTAGCTATGAAGGCAGACAAATAACAGTGCCCAATGTCAAGTGAACAGTTATATACCCAGCACCATGCCAGGAGAGTCATTCACTATAATCTCATTAAAGCCTCATAACTCTTATACATGAAAAAAGAGCTTTCTCATCAGCTAGCAATAGCCACTGTGTGTTCACAGTGAGTTGTTATAATTCTAGTTAAGAGGAAAAAACAAAGAAATTGAAAAAAAGGGGACTGGAGGTAGCATTGAGACAGGAGATTAGGGCTTGGCAGGCTGGCGGGGGAAATAGGCATGGCCTATTAACTGCAATATTCCAGGAGACATGCACAGAACTGTTCCCAAAGTCCCACGTGTGGAACCAGAGCGCTATCTTCAGTTCTCATGAGAACTCGAGCAAGTTTTCAACAGGGCTACACCTGAGGCCAGCCAGCAGAGTGGGAGATACAAAGGGAAAGTCAGCTCTGCGCTCTCCACTGCTGTGTTCTTTTACAGGATCCACTTTCACGCTATAGAATGTACTTCTTTCCCTACTGTGACTTGGCCCAAATTCACTCTGCAAAGCCTGTTTCTTTTCCTAGCCCTTAATAAATGTAAAACCTTACTACCTTTTGTGCTTGACTTGACCAATTCTTTGTAAGGAGAGAAAGAACCTAGTGGGCCGGGTATGTAGCTCAGTGGCGCCTCACTTGCCCGGCAAGTGCAAGGTCCTGAGTTCAATTTGAGGTACCAGAAAAAGAAGTGGGGGCGGGGATTTAGCTCAGTTGTGCCGCTACCTGTCTTGAAAGCACAAGGTCCGGAGTTTAATTCCTGGTACAAAAAGAAAGGAAAGAAAGGAAAGAAAGAAAGGAAAAGAAAAGAAACGAAAGAAAAAAGAACCTAGAAACTACCTCTGGGAGACACCAGCACCCCAAGACCTGGGAACAGCATTTCTATTTTAGGGAAGAAAGAACCAGGGACATAACTCCACGGCTGTAGACTGACAGTTACTGATGGTACTAAGACAGCCCTTTTTGGGGCTGGAAGAGCTCAGTGGTAGAGCACTTGCTTGGCATGTAAGAGGCCCTGGACTCATTTCATTGCACTAACAAAATAAAACAAAAAACAAACAAACAAAAACCAAATAACTTCATCCTCTTATCACCTCCCCACACTGTCTAAAAACAAATGCTACTAAGCAGTGATTGATTCATTTAAATTCATAAGCTCTTCTGTTAATATGCAACTACCCTTGAAATCAGTAGGGGTGGTAAGAATTGTCTTTTCTCAGAATGAATCACCTTACCCATTTTCCTTCCCCCTCCTCCAGTTTCCCTTCCTTTTCTTCCTCCCAGACAACCAAGACAAAAGCCAGACTACAAGTCATGAGGATTAGGTCTGAGTGAGGTTCTTTAGACAGCCAGAGGAGCTGGGAGCTTGGAAGTGGGTGGGCAAGGAAGGAAAGAAAAACCAGCTCTCTGCCTGTGCTACCTACACCCCACTCTGCAACGTCTGCCCAGAGCCAAGGCTGGTTCTCTCCTCTCCAGCCACACATTCTTGTGCATGAATTCCTCTGTGTTTCCTGAGTGCCTACCCAGTGCCAGAGGAGGTGTCATGGCCAAACACACATAGCAGCAGAACATTCTGGCAAAAAGTCATTGTTGGGGGAGAAGGAAACACTAAGGAGGGGTTGAGATGGTCTAGAACCACCAAAAACTGCTTACTTTGAAAGAAATCTCCCAAAATGCTGGTGTCTTTTGGACTATGTGTTCCCACTGTGCACAGCTGAAACCAAGAGCCAGCAGCCTCTACAGTTCTCTCCCTATTTTGTTTCCAGATCCTCCTCAGCCTTCTCTTGAAATACCCAGGAAGCTTATTTATTCATAAGCCCTTCAGTCAGTATCGGAATAAACTCAATCATTCAATAAGTATTTCCTGGGAATTTCTAATGAATATAGCACTATAGAGGAGTGATTTGGGGTGTTACCCTTCCTGTGATTATTTGCCTCGATTGATTTTAGTCCTGGGGATTGAACCTAGGGCCTCTGTACTAGTACAACCTCAGCCCTTTTTATTTATTTATTTTTTTAAACTTTTGAAATAGGGTTCTTGCTAAGTCATTAAATTGCCTGTTTACAATCCTTCTGCTTCAACCTCCCAAGTAGTACTGGAATTACAGGTGTGCACTACCACACTTGGAAGGAGAATGAATTTTTGACAGAATTAAAATACTTCAGAAAAATATTTTAGAACCAAAACTTCATGCTTGCTTCGGCACCACATGTTCTAGAAGCAAACTTCACTGGGGTTCTTCAAATCATACTATATAAGCAATCTTCTGGTTTTTTTCTTCTAAAACAAAAAAAAAAATTTTTTTTTTTCTTTTGGTACTGGGAATCGAACTCAGGTCCTTGCACTTGCAAGGCGGGCAGCGGAACCACGGAGTCAAATCCCCAGCCCTTTTTTTTTTAATCTTCTGAAGAGAGGGTCTCATTATATAGCCCAGTAGCACACTGAACTCTCTAGCATTGGTCTAGGCCTTCCTCGAATAGGACAGAATCCTGCCAGACCCAGTAAGGTTATGAACAGATCACAATATGTGAAAATACTTTGATAATATTATAGCATAAACAAATCTAAATTCTTATTAATGAATTGCTCTTTTAGAAAACTCCCATATTTTCTTAATTTCTACACTTACCCTGATACATCACAGGAAGAGTGCCAGTAAAATTCAGCAGGTCTTTCTGGGAACTATCTTTAAAAACTGGAAGAAAAAAAAAATCCAAAAAATGCAATCAGAAGTAGAACTGTATTAAAGTGTGTAAATGCACACACAGACACACACACAACCCATATGCACATACACACATAGCTCACAATCTCTATGTCCCCGGATCAGTACATTTATCAACAAGGGGAAATCACTAGATTTTGTTTCCTTAGAAAGCCATGAGACTAGATGAAAGAACACAGAACTTTGATACTGAAATTTCAGATTCTAGGCCTACTTCCCCTCTTAGAGGCATGTTTTGGTTACTTTAATCTCTCTTCAGTTTCGCAGTCTCTAAAATAAAGAAAACTACTTTGCAAAGTTATCATAGGGATCAAATAAGATATAGAAAAGCAATCGGTATTATAATTGCTTTTCCGGTCAGAAGAAAAATGTTGGCTTTTTAAAGCAACCTTCCAGAAAGATTAATAGTTATCTTCTTTGGTTTCTCTGTTATTCTCAATCTTTGCTCAACATTTACATCCCGGCAATTTCCACTTTCCCATCAGTAACTCAGATGATCTGGAGGAGAATCAATGTTCTAGTCATGGGTTGAAGACAAAGAAACAATATCACTGATTTAAACAAACTGCATTGGAACATGGTCCATTTAATATTTCCGTAATTAAACTACTTGGGCAGAGGAAGAAAAAAATTCTAGGAAGATTTTGATGACCACCCTTTCAAAAGGGAAACAGGAAACCAGGCTGTCTTAGTCTGTTTGGGCTGCTATAACAAAATACCAAAAACTGGGGAGCGTACTCATCTAAGCAACAGAAATTGTTATAGCCTAGGAAATCCAAAACACTAAATCAGTGTCTGTGGAAGGTCCATATACTCATTCTTTTTGCTGTTTGGTCACATGGTGGGAGGACAAGAGTCCCAGGCATCTTTCACAAGGGCAATGGTCACACTCATGAAACCTCTGCCAAGAGTTCCCCAAAGGCCCCACCTCCCAATGCTATCACCTTGTGCGGGGACCCAAACTTTCAGACTGCAGCATGGGCTGACACCGAAAACTCGAGTGTAAATAAGGACAAATATTTATCCTGAACTAGAGAAGTGAAAGTAACAACGAATGAAGGGACTGCTCCTGGCCAAAAACTAAAAGGAAAGAGGGATGGAATAGGGCTTATCGCTCAGGGACAGAGAATAAAAATAGAAATATATCAGAGGATCTACAAGTGCAGTATTCATTTCCTAATGAAACTGCTAAAAAAACAGAACAGGGGCTCAGAGTGTGACTTAGTGGTAGAGAACATGCTTAGCATGTATGAGGGAGGCCTTGGATTCGAAACAAAGAGAAGTGACCATGACCCATGACTACCATTGTCTCTAGTAACAGAAGGTACACTGGCAACATGAACCCCATAGTGTAAAAGGCTCATAGCACCAAAGCTTTCTCCAGATGGGGGAAATCAGAGAAGGAATTAACTGTAAAATAAAGCATCACATCTATATAAAGAAGACAGACACTGTACGAGAGTAGGCAATACTCAAAAAAGAGGGCAAGAAGAGAGAGAGAGAGAGAGCAACACAGACGTGAGTACAAACACAACTCCATCACTTACTAGCTGTATAATCTTAAGGAAGTTATTTAAACTCTCGGAGCCTCAGTTTATCTCCCAAATGAAGATGATAACACCTCACAGCTTTCTTTGATCGTTAAAAAAAAGTAAGTTAATAATGTAAGTTAATAATAAGTTAATAAATGTAGATAAAACATTTGAAAGCACACCTGACATTCAATAAATACTAGTTATTATATTTCTCATTCCACGTATTTTTGTAGCACCAAAAATATTGAAAGGGCCCAAGTGTTGGGGGTTTAGAGCAGTTGCAGAGCCCTTGCCTACCATGCTTGACACCTGGTTTCAATTCCCAGTATTGGGAAAAAAAAGTAGAGGGGGAAGTTGAAGACGAATCAGAATCTAATAATTTTTCTCCATATACTATTAGCCATTCCTAAGCAGTACTTCAATGACTTACAGGAGCCGGGCCTTGTGGAATACCACCTGTAATACCAGCACTTGGGAGGCAGAGGCAGGAGGACTGCTATGAGTTTGAGGCCAGCCTGGGGTACAGGGTGAGTTCAAGACCATCCTGGATTGCATAGTGAGACACAGTCTCAAAAAATTAAAAAAGAAAAAGAAAAGAAAAAACCCAAAAAACTCCTCGAGATATCTAATATAAATCTAAATAGATATATTTTGTTAACTTAATTCAACTTTAAAAAGAAGTTTTTCAAAACTACATTTTACTAATTTATGAATTTAACCTCCCCCACACACACTCACACAAACACACATCAGGGATGGAACTCAGGACCTTGTGCTTACAAGGCAGGCCTGCTGCCACTGAGCTAAATTCCTGGCCCCCCAAACTATTTTTTGCGACAGGGTCTTATTATGTAATACCAGCTGGCCTCCAGCTAGTTGTGATCTTCCTGCCTCAGCCTCCTCCTGAGTGCTGGGATTACAACCATAGGCCACCAATCCACCCTGACTAATCTGTAGAATCTGAAATCAAGTCAGTGGTCTGTCATTTTTATTTATTTAACAGTGCTGGGAATTAAACTCAGAGCCTCAAACTCACTAGGTAAGTATTCTACCACTGAGTAAGCCTCAGCTCAGCATTATTTTTTTGGTACCAGGGATTGAACTTGGGACCTTGTACTTGTGAGGCAGGAGGCAGCACCACTGAACTACATCCCCGGCCCCTCAGCATTTGTGTTTTAGGGTTTTTTTTGTTTTTTTGAGTTAGGGTCTCACTATGTAGTTGAGACTGACCTGGAACTTACTATGTAGTCCAGGCTGGTCTCAAACTCACAGTGATCCTCCTGCCTCAGCCTCCCGAGTGCTGGGATTACAGGTGTGCACCACCACGCCTGGTTCAGTATTTGTTTTTAAGTGGGATAAAAGAGAAGATGCAGTATTTCAGTAGTGTATATACAGGATCATGATATAAAATACTCTTCTGATAGTAGCCTGAAGTAAAACATTTTTAAAAGATAGTAAATAAAATCTTTATTAAACAAAAAGATCCTCTCTGTTAAGGGAACGAGATAACCAAAACTTTGTTATTAATAATTTAGAGCCAGGCTGGATACATAAGTGAAAAAAAAATTTAGAGCCAGCCAGGTAGGTGGTAGCAGATGTCCATATCCTAATCCCTGGAAACTACTAATGTTAGCCTACCAGGCAAAGGGACTATATAGATGAGATTAAAATAAAGTCCCCAGGATTGCAAAACTTTCCTGTATTATTAGGGTTGCTCTAACCTAATCACATTGGGTCTTAAAAGCAGAGAACTTTTCCCAGCTATAACTGGGGGAGATTTGATTACGGGAGAATTGTTACAGACACACAACACTGCTGACTGAAGAAAAAGGAGACTGAGCGCCAAGGAATAATGGTGACCTCTAAAACCTAAAAAAGAGGAGGGGAGCAGGGCTTGGTGGCACAGGTTTATAATCCCAGGACTCAGGAGGCTGAGGCAGGAGGATTGCTTGCAGGTTTAAGGCCAGCCTGGGCTACATAATGGGACCCTGTCTCAAAAGAATTTTTTAAAGAGGAGAAAAAGATTCTCCCCCAGAGCTGCCAGGAAGGAACAAAGACGTGCTATTACCTTGATTTTAGCCCAAGTCTCCAAGCTACAGAAACTTATGTTGAACCTCCAGGGTATAGATATGGGACAGAGTAAATCTACATTTTTTTAAGCCACCAAGTTTGTGGTACTTTGTATACTGGCAATAAAAAATTACCAAAAAAGACAGTGTACTGTATCAACTTAAATTTCTTCAGAAATCATAGCAGCTCTCTAGGACCAAATAACTCATAGTTAAAATAATGCAACAAAACTAGAGGATATTATTCTTACCGTAGGTGTCCATGGAGTATCTGAAATGTGGGAAAAACATATTTACATTCTTTAGTTCTTCCACAGTTAGATCCCTGAACTTGTACTGAAAAAAGAAAAATGAGCACAGAATAAAAATAAAGCTATAAGTAACACAACAATTACAGTTAACACTTCACATTTGCCGGGTAGTAGGCCTTAGAGCTTTACAAACATGAAAATCATTGGACTTAAACCATGACCCTAAGAGGTAGGTAGGGTTTACAACTGCTCGATTTTACAGAAGAAAATAAATGCTAGAGAATCAAAGTAACTTGCTGAGTCAGAAAGCAAGTAGTGAAGCCAGAGCTCAAACCCGGAGCCTAGGACTTTAATTACTAAATCAAACTGCCTGTAGGTATCCAAATACCCTGCAGGCTTAGGACCCAGAGCAGGACGCACCTTTCTCACTGCTATCCTAGGTCCAGTTCTCTTTTCTGAATGCCTCATTCTCTGGAGACACCTTGACTTTTCTCTCCCACCCTCCTGGTCCCCCATCCTGGGTTTTGAAGGAAAACAAAAGCATTATCATGCTGGCTGCCAGGTTAAAGTTGCCTCCTCTCTCCTCATATTCTCCCAGAAACACCACCTTGGTTGTCTTGTGGGCAAAACCATTTCATTTCTTTGAACGTATTTTCTAAACTGCAAGAGAAATAATACTTACTCGCTGGACTTGTGATGAGAACTAAATAAGACGGAGAGAGAAAGAAGGACAGTACAGCATGACTGAGAAGCTTAAGGCTTGATGGTACATGCCTGTAATCCTGGGTCTGAGGGAGGCTGATGCAAAAGCATTACACACTGGAGGTTTGCCTGGACAACTTATCAAGAACCTGACTCAAAAAGAATTTTTGTAGGACCAGGGATTTAGCTCAGTGGCATCATGCCTGCCTTGCAAGCACAAGGTCCTGAGTTTGATCCCTGGTACCGAAAAAAAATTGTTTTTTCACATAAAGAAAGGGGGTGGGGATATAGCTTGGTGGCAACGTACTTGTGTGGCATACATGAGGGTTTATTCCAAATAAATGAATAAATTTTTTTAAAGGGTTGGGATGTAGCACTGAAATAGCTACCACAGTGGACGGCAGACCTAGAATCTTTCCAACAACATCACATCTGTTTGCCCTATACTACATATAGATTTAAGACGCTGTTATATTGTTTTCAGTACAGTACGGGGGATTGAACCCAGGGACACTCTACCACTGAGCTATATCCCAACCTTTTCCTTTTTAAGATGGGGTCTAGCTAAGCTTCTCATGTTAGCCCTGACCTTGTGATCCTCCTGCCTCAGCCTCCTGAATAGCTGAGATTACAGGTGTGTGCCACCAACCCTGGCTAAAACCCTAAGCCTTAGTTACTATAGTATTGGTATTTGGTAGCACAAATCTTCATACTAATTCTGCTGCAAGAATGTCAAGATTATTCTTGGCCATCTGTCCTTCCAATTAATTGTAGAATCAGTCTGAGAAATTGCCAGAATAACTGGTTAGATTTGGGGGGAGTGCCGGGGATCAAACTGAGGCCCTTGCGCTTGTGAGGCAGGTGCCAGAACCACTGAGCTAAATCCCCACCCTAGCGCCAGGGATTTAGCTCAGTGGTTCGGTGGCCTGCCTCGCAAGCGCAAAGACCTAAGTTCAATTCCCGGTACCAAAAAATAAATAAATCCCCAGCCTAACTGGTTAGAATTTTGACTAGAATTATATTGACTCTGCGGATCAATGTGGAAACAACTGACACTTTTACATGAAGCTGGGGTACCCATTTAGGTTTTCCTTTATTTATGTTCAGTACGGTTCTTTTTTTCAACTTCTCCATACAGTTCTTTGGCTAAGTACTGTCCACAGATTTTTCTGCACTAAAATGATTTTTAGATACTAAGTTATTATATTATTCACCTAAGGGAGGGACTAAGAAACCTCAGAAATACTGTAATTTCTAGGCTGATTAATTTCTGATAGGTTTCCTTACTTTGAACCACTGAGATAAATCCCCGGCCCTTCCTTACTTAATTTATACAATACTTATTAAACACCTGCTCAATGGTAGTAACATAGGTTTTGAAGGCCCTGGGTTCTGGGTTTAATTCCAGCATCCAAAAACAAAAAGAAAAGACAAACAACTACAAGCTAGACTGTACGTTAGGCACTGAAAATAATTCCAAAATTCCTCTGTTATTCTATTTCCACATCCCCAACCTCCATTGAAAAAAAATCATTCTTTTCTCTTTTTTTTTTTCTTTCCTTCCAGTTCCACCAAAACTTTAACAATTCTTCCCATTGGACAATGCACCATGTCTCCCACATTAAAACTTGATAGACCAGCTCTTCAAGTGTCATGTTCTCTGAAGTGAGAAAATGTAGTAATCTTAAAAAGAGTAATAATCTTTTTCTATAAGACTTACACTTACCACAGTAGATAAAATCATTCAAATCTATTACAGAAACAATTTCAATCTTGGGCTTCAAAACTTCCCATAGACGAAAACTGCCCCTGGATTGGGAGATACGGGCAAGTCCAACAAAAATAACCCACATACATGGGTTAAGAGTAACCTCTTTTTTTTTTTTTTTTTTTTTTTTTTTTTTAAGAGTAGGAAGATATTGGGCCGAGGATTCAGCTCAGCGGTTCCGTCGCCTGCCTCACAAGTGCAAGGACCTGAGTTTCATCCCCGGTAGGAAAAAAAAAAAGGTGGGGTAAGAAGATATTGATAGGAAAGCTCCTGAAAGGCAGGGGGGGTTCCAAGTGGGCAGCCAGGGACACCACTTTACAGAGGAGTTTTACAGGGTGAAACCCAGATGGGTACAACATGGGCCAAAGCCATGATCATCTGATAAGGTTGTAAGTGCAGTCACTTAAGTAATGGTAGTCCAATTGGGAAGCAAGACACATAACAAGGGTGGATGGAAAGAAAAAAGATTCTCCCAGGAAATGGTGGGTCCAGAGGTTCCGGTCACCCATGGGGTGGCAGATGTCTGTCTAGGATTCATTAGGCCTAGTGCTCATTCTTTGAAGAAGTATGTAGGTTTTGTCGGGTTGTCTTTATCTTGAGGTCCGATCAACGTGTCTCCAGAGCAGCTGTGGCGTGTTTCACCTTTGTCCCGACTTTAAGTACCCAGCCCTCTCTGGCCGCCTCTAATATTCCTACCTAACTCATCGGTGTATAATCCCAGCACTTGGGAGGCTGAGGCAGGAGAATCCCTGAGAGTTCCAGGGCACCCTAAGCTATCTAGTGAGTTCAAGGCCACTCTGAACTACACAGCGAGACCTTGTCTTAAAAAAAACAACACCCACAAATCAGCCATATTTGAAATCAGTCTTGGAGGGGGGGTACCGGGGATCGAACTCGGGACCTTGTGCCTGCAAAGCAGGCGGCGGTACCACTGAGCTAATCCCCTGGCCCCATGAAAACAGTCTTTTTAAAATTTCCTGTTTATTGGGCCGGGAATTTAGCTCAGTGGTTCCAGTGCCTGCTTTGCAAGCGTAGACACAGAGTTCAAACCCTGGTACCAAAAAAACAAAAACTAAAATTTCTCCTGTCTATTTATTGACCGCACAGAGCAATCATAAGAAACATTAATAAAAACTCAAAGAGGACACTCATGGAAAGAGAATGTCCTCAGATTGCTCATCAGTGGGGAATCGGAGAGCCTGCACTAAGAGGTCCGAAGAGTCTTCTAGCTCCTGAACTGGAAACTAGCACTAGTCAGGGCCCAGGAACTAGGCCGGGTTTCCGGGTCAGCCCTCCCACGCCTTAGCCTTCCAACACCGAGAGGATCTCTGCTACCGTCCAAGCCCTGTAGTCACCCCCAAATCTACTCAGGTCTTGCATTCATTTACTTGGCACCTAGGTTATTGCCAGACACAGTGGTAGGCGAAAAGAAAGGCAAAGATAAAAAGCCCAGCATCTGCCTTCAAAAGAGCTCAAGGGCAGGAGGAAGGTTTGCAAATAATCACTCCACGGTTTGATCAGCCGGTGTTGTGGAGCCAGCGACTCGGTGTTGCCGGGGCTGACACAGAGCCTGGTCTTGGAGAGGAGGAGGCCCCCAGCAGCAGGTCGTTTCAGCGGAAAGAAAGGCGTGGTCGCAGGGGCCGGGAGCTGCGTGGGGACAGCGAGGGAGGCCGCGTGGGAAGGACTGGCGCGATCGGGAGCTGGGAACCGGGCGCCACGACAGCCCGGGGACTCCGAGCCCCGCGCCCGGGGCCGCTGCTCAGCCGGAGAGAGAACCGCGAGGTCGCGGCAGCCCGGCTATAGGAAGAGACACCACGACCCGGGACCCCAGTGCTGGTTCAGCGAGCGTTCCCACCTTGCCTAGGAGATGTCTCACACCCTCGCAGTCGAACTCCATTTCTAGTCAGGTCCCGGAGCAGGATCCCGACCCGAACCGCTGACGTCTTCCGGGAGCACTGCGGGATGGGACGGAAGCCTCAGAGGACCAAAACTCTGCGCGGCACCAGGGCCCGCCCCTTCCCTCCGCGGGAATTCCGGCTGCGAATTCCAGCCGCAGTCCCTGTCGCAAGACTCGGCCCGGGCCGCGCGCAGAGGCGGAGTGTAGAGAGCATATGTCAATGTATACGATGCAGAGAACATAATGCCTCCCAAATAGAGTATGATGTCAGTGTGTTCCCAAGAGTGGCGAGTGAAACCCCCCGAGTGACTTCAGTGTGTGAAACCTGATATGTAATCCCCCCAAGAGTGAAGTGTGGTGTGTAATCAAACATCCTACGCCCTTAACACCCTGTGACGCCCTACGACGCCCTATAACGTATGCAACACCCATGTGTGTGAAGAGCTAAGCCCGAACCAGGGCCACAGACCCCAAATTAGAATGGTATAAAAGAGAGAGCGCAGAAGACCAGCTCGTCCCACTCGGTGACCGATCCAGCTCCAGGGCAACCTGCCAGACGAGATCTCGGATGAGGCCTCGGTGGAGACATCGGACGCCTGCCCGGTGTGGACTCCCGGATCGAGGAGGAGGCAACCGGATTGACGACCGCAATCACCAGGAAAGGAGAAACAAAGCCGCGCTCCTCGTCTTGTGCAGGTACAGGGAGTGGCCACTGGCGGGTGTGAATGAACATGTTGGATGGGTGACAGATATAAAATATATAAAAATCTAGTTGGCAACTACTGCTGTCTCGACCTCCAGATAGTGCGCACTCCTGCTCGCGACACGGAGGAGCCTCGCCCAGCGCGTGAACCCCGCTGACGGGGACTGGAACGCGGCCAGAAGCGCGATGGGGCGGGAGGAGCTCGGCCGGATCGCCGGAGAGCTGGGGAAGAGAGCTGTGAGGAGAGGAGTAGGAAGGACCACTGTAGACGCAGGAAAGGAGGAAGAGGCAACACGTCCGCTTCTAGAAACGTGTTCCATTCAGCAGAACATCCTGTGAGGACCGAGTTTCCAGGTCACGGTGGGCTCCATGCCCCTTACCCAGAATAGAGTAAATGCAAAAGTTCCTTTCTGAAAACTTCCGTTCTATGTGGCAGTTTCTCTGTGCTTTGACAATTGCAGTTCCCCTTTTAGGGCATCTCCACCCTGCTTCTGTTCCTCTTTTTAAGATGAGCTTCTTTTTATGTAATTTAATGAATATAGGAATTAAGTATAGTTGATATAAAAGCTTCTTTTTGGGTGATCTAATCAATATAGGAATTAGTTATAGCTGATATAGGAATTAATTATAGTGTATATAGATAGTCATATATCTTAGCAAAAGTCAGAAAAGAGGAATTAATTGTCTAATGAAAAGAGGAATTAATTCTCTAAAGACCTTAGGTAACTTTCTAATACGTACCCTCCCAGCACACCATAATAATTTTGCAAATGTAAGCATTAGGTCATGTTCCAATGTGCCTTCCCGATGCCCCTTGACGACGAGGGAAAACTAAAAATAGTAACAGAAAAATCCTATATAAACTTGGTTCAAAGTTGGATCTGGGCTCTCAGTCTGAAGCCGCTGTGACGGTGACACCTGAGGGTCCAGGCTCGAGCTTGCAATAAACTCCTCTTGCAATTGCATCGGACCTGACTCCTTGGTGGTCTTTGGGGACTTCGCGACTTGGGCACAACAATCCGAAAAGATCAAGAGCGAGCACTGTAGTTGGATTTGGGGAAGACCTGGTAGTGACATTTTGAAAGCAAAGTCTCAGAAAATAGAAAGGGAAGAAGGTCAGGAAGAGCCTTGCCACATAACCGGGTCTTAGGACGGTAGTGGAGGTGGCCAGCGTGGGAAGGGGAGCCCCAGGCAGGCAGCTGTAGCTCCCGTGGTGGAGGAACTTAAGAAAAAGCCCGGGTTGAAAAACAGAAGGAATTTGGAAACCAGAGAGAGAGGAGATTGGTGGACAAAATCATCCGGAGAAGAAAGGTGAAGAAGAGATGGAGGAGTCATTTTCTGGCATTGACTGTTCTACTTGTGAGGTTGCTTAGCCACCCTGTGGCCCTGTCTTGGGGCATTGGGCTAAAATGTCTCCGGTCTGGATTTTGAATCCTCAAGAGGTTGGTCAGGCAGGAAGGTGGTTGTATTTAGGAAGAGCCAAAGGCAGGGTGCTGCGCTCAGTTGGAAGAAAGTGAGAGGCTACAAGGAGCTTCAGAAAACTTTTGCTGAGCGTCTGTTTATTTGCAAGCTGTTGTTGTAAGGCTGAGAATACAGCATTGAACAAAATAGACAAAGATACAGGCTGTCCTAAGGTTGTCATTCTTTTATTACTAGAGGGAAAGAAAAACTAAACATAATTAAGCAGATTATACAGCATGGTAGAAGGTGATTAAGTGTTGCAGAGAATACATTTTTTTAAAGATAGGATAAGGGGGTTGGAGTAGGTCTTGCTGAGAGGTGGAGTAAAACATTCAAATGAGAGAGCAACCAGAGTAAAGGGAGGCTCAAAACAGCAAGGAGATTCTGGCTGGAGCACAAAGAATGAGCAAAGGTGGGGGGTTTAGCTCCATGGCTCTGTGCCTGCCTTGCAAGATCAAGGTCCTGGGTTTGATCTTGGGTACTGAAGAAAAAAAAAAAAGCAAGCAGAAATAGACTTAAGTCAGAGACAATGATGAACGTAACTGTACTGTATACTTAAAAAGTACCAATAAACTCAATAAGATTAAAAAATGTTTTTCCAAAACCACTATGTCACATGTATGTTTACCTAAATGTTCTTGTTCTAAGTATTATTATTTGTTATGTATGCACTGTCTCAATTGTATTTTTAAAAATGGAGTATACTAGACAATTTAATTGAATTTTATTCTAGATGGGAAGCCAGCTGTTTCAGACTTTATTAAATAATCTGTCCCTTAAAAAAAAAAAAAGAAGTGAGTCAGAGAAAGATGCAGGTTTACAGAAGTGAATCTTACAGCCCGGCATGGTGGCGCACACCTGTAATCCCAGCACTCGGGAGGCTGAGGCAGGAGGATTGCTGTGAGTTTGAGAACAAGCTGGGCTACATAGTGAGTTCCAGGTCAGTCTCAATTGTAAGACCACCTTAACCAAACGTTCCAGAACTACAGATCAGTGACAGGGAGATAACACCCCAGAGGAACCGAATGAGTTGCACCCAAGAATGGTGTTAAACAGACCTTTACTAGTCTGGCCGGATGGCCCCTCTAAGCAACGACTTGGAGAGCACCCCAAGCCCAGAGTACAAGAGGGTTTTATATGTTTCTAGACCGGGCGGAAGCAAGCAAAATTACAGAAGTGAAATGCGGCGGTTAGAAGAAAGGAACAGAACATATAGTTTGCACAGGATGAGGCTGACAAAGTACAGAGCTGCGGTTAATCTCTGTAGGAATGCCATTTTAGGGCTATGGTTAATCTTTACAGGAATCATCTATCTCTTCTACCTGGAATGTTCACACTTGGTGTTTGTTACTGATCATTTTCCAGAATATGTGTTGTCCTTTTGAGGACTACAGGCCTTTCCTGCTTTCTCAAGAAGGCGAGCTTAACCTTTAACTAAGATGGCGTCCAGGCTGGTACTTTACACCTGACATCAATTACATAGTGAGACTCTGTCTCAAAAAAAATAAGTGAGGTTTACAGTGTGCTCCCCAGACTTACAACCTCAGTATCACTTGCAATGTGTTTCCAATGCAGATCCTTAAGCAGGGCTTGATGACACAATGCTTATAATCCCAGCATTCTGGAAGGCTGAAGCAGGAGGATCACAAGATCAAGCCCATCCTCTGCAATTTATTTAGCAAGACCCTGTCTCAAAATAAAAAAAGGGTTGGGAGGCTGGGTATGGTGGCACACGCCTGTAATTCCAGCACTTGGGAGGCTGAGGCAGGAGGATTTCTGTGAGTTCAAGACCTTCCTGGGCTATGTAGTGAGTTGCAGGTCAGTCTCAACTACATAGTGAGACCCTGTCTCAAAAAAACAAAACAAAACAAAAAAAAAAGGGTTGGGGATGTAGCTCAGTGGAAGGGACCTCAGTTCAACCCCCAGAATTGGGCGTGGGGGGGCACAAAAATCACAAAATTGTTGCAGGGCATGCTGGCACTCGCCTGTAATCCCAGCACTTGGGAGACTGAGGCTGGAGGATCGCTGCAGGTTAGAAGCCAGCCTGGACTACATAGTGAGATCCTCTTTCAAAAAAAATTTTTTTTTACTTTATTCCTTGTAATGAGAAAGCAAATACTGTGGGAAACCACTGGGACATCTCAGTAAGAATGTAAGAAGCTTCTTCAAGATTTGGGCACTTTGGGAGACTTTAAGGAAACAAGGCCTCGCTCTAGAATGAGCACTTTCAGCAAGACATTTCTGTAACTGGAATATGTCAATGACCATTATAAGGTGGACAAACATGAGTGAGGCTACAGCTGTAACTGGTAAAGAAGCGGAGAGGAGGATGCTTGGTATTTTGTTGGTTGCATAGCAACTTTGTCCTTATCTCTGTTTAGACAAAATTATGAAGGTTTTGAACAGAAGAATGATGATCTGATTGATAGAGGTCTCTCTTTTTGTTTTTGTGCTGGGATGGAACTCAGGCCTTACCCATTACCACCGGGCTACCTCCCAGCCCTTCCGATTAGGTCTCAGAATGACTGCTGGATAGGGAGGGGACAATAGTGCAGGGCTTAGCCTGGGGCCAGGGTGGAAGCTGGGAGGCAGCGCAGGAAGAAGATGAGAGGTCCTCCGCCAGATCTGACAAAGCTTGGAAACAGACTTCCGGAGGATCCGAGATCAATGAATCCTGCCAGAAATCCATTAATCAATGAAAAGGTAGCAAGTTAGCAGCTAAGTCTGAACAAGTTTCTTCCGTTTCTTATGAAAGAGCTTTTCACGGAAGAGGCCTTCCATTCAAACCAAACCACCAGTTCTCTTCTGGGCTAGTAATCGCGGATGCTTTTGGCTTATCTGTGTGTGACATACATGTTTGATGTCCTGTGTGAAAGGTACCTTGCTAAGACTTTTATGTGCTTTATCTTAATCTTTCACAAAGCTTTATGACCTGGATGTGGTTGTGACAAAGTCAGTTTTACTGACGAGGAAACTGAGGGTTTGTGTGGTTTTACCTGTTTTGTGGTGTCTGAGGTCCAGTTGAATAAAGGTGTATTAGTGATAGCTTTTGGGTGAGGAGTGAAAAGGTTACACATTTAAATATGCATACTGATTTTAACATGTACATCTATCCTAAAAAAGCTTACATGTGAAGAAGTGTGGACCTTAAAATAGTATACCTGGTTCTCCATTTTACAGATATGGGAACAGAATCTCAGAAAGGTGAAATGATGGGAGGTGATGTCAAAAACTATGCTCTTTGTGTGTTATACCGTCTCTCCCTGTGTGTGAAATTGTGATGGACAGCCAGGCATGGTGGCGCACACCTGTAATCCCAGCACTTGGGAGGCTGAGGCAGGAGGATCACTGCAAGTTCGAGACCAGCCTGGGCTACATAGTGAGTTCCAGGTCAGTCTCAACTATATAGTGAGACCCTGTCTCAAAAAACAAAAAACAAAAACAAAATTGGGCTGGGGATTTAGCTCAGTGGTTCGGTGGCCTGCCTTGCAAGCGCAAGGACCTGAGTTCAACCTCCGGCACCCCCCCCAAAAAAAAATTGTGATGAAACTGTGCGAGCACTTGCCTAGCATGCGTGAGGCCCTGGGATTCAATCTGAACTGCCGCTAATAATAATAATAGCAAATAATTTAGGACATCAGAATTCTGTGTCTATTGGTATTTCATTACCAAATGAAAGGTGTATTGTACTGGTATTGGTCTTTTTAAGCCTCCCCTGACTACTCCAATTTCCCGTCTGGCCAGTCTCCTCTGCTATTGGATCCTGGCATCTAAAGAAGCTATAATATGCACTCTTCCCCAAGCACGTTGTTTCCTTCCTTGCTTCATGCCTCAGTGCCTGCTGAAGTATTGATTGTACTGGTGGTGTATCTGTCTGCCGAGAGGCCCTAGAAGATCAGGGTAGAATCTCATGCGTCTCTATATTCCTGGTGCTGTGTGTACTTGGATTTATGCATTTTATTATCATACTAGTATTTAGTAAGCCAGATACAAAGAGGCCTACTATAGAAAGTTTCCTGAATAAATTGACAGTGTAAGGTGAACAAAGCCGTAAGGAGAAGAAGGTATAATGTGTTAATAATAATCATTAGCCTCACTGGGCGTGGTGGTGCACATCTATAATCCCAGCATACGACAGGCTGAGGCAGGAGGATCACCATGAGTTTGAGACCAGCCTGGACTACATAGTAAATTCAAGGTCAGTCTGAACTACCTAGTGAGGACCCATCTTAAAAAAAAAAAAAAAAAAAAAAAAAAAAAAAAAAAAAAAGCAGAGCACAAAAGAGGCCAGAGTGCCAAGAATTTTCAGCACGGAATACTGTGAAAAGGGTGCACAACAAAGAAAAAACTCAGGAGATTTCCCTGGACGTCCTTGTGAATCAATGGCTGACTTATGTCTTCACGTCATGGGGTAAAAGTCCACAAGGCTTGGAAAAGAATCACCTAAAAGTAGCAGGTGAATCATTTGTTGGAGCCCCTAAAGCACTGGGAGTTGTAGAAAATTCTACAGATTGGAAGACCTCATGCAATAGAGAGTGCTCATAGTTCAGTCTTGGAGATCATTAACCCTACAGTAAATGCAGCTCTTGGCCACCAGAGCAAAGCTTACAACAAGCCTCCGAAGAATCAGACTGATCCCAAGTAATGTAACTATATCTTAGTACAAAATCCAACTCTCTGGTAAGGAATATAACAAAATCCAGAACTATAAAGTTCACCGTGTTCAGCATTCATTCCAAAATTACGAGGCAGGGGCCGGGGATTTAGCTCCGTGGTTCCACCACCAGCCTTGCAAGTGAAAGGTCCAGAAGAGTTCGATCCCCAGTACCAGAATAAATAAATAAATAAATCACAAATAAAAAGAGACTGAAAAAAGCACAAGACATCAACAAGCTATGGGACAATACCAACTGATCTATATGGTGGTCTAACACACATGGAAGGGAGATTCAGAAGGGAGGAAGAATGTGCAATAATAGCTAAACATTTTCCCAATTTGATGAAAACCAGAAACACAGTCCAAGGAACTCACCAAACTCAGGTAGAAGAAACATGCAGAAAATTATACAAAGACAAGTCAATATCAAGTTACTGAAGACTATTGATAAAGAAAAGATTTTTGGTATTTTGGCACCAGGGATCCAACTGAGGACCTTAGCCTTGTGAGGCAGGCTCGATGCCACTGAGCTAAATCTGTGACCTGAGAGATTTTTTTAAACAGGGAGTTAACTGAATGATCATTGGATTCACCCTCCTGGGTATTTATCCTAGACAAATTAAAAGTTATGTTCACGTGAAAAAGAACTGTGCACAAATATCTCTAACATTTTCGTTCATAATAGCCTAAAACTGGAGATAACATAAATTGATAAACTGCTGTGTCCATACAATGGAGCATTACGTTGATGAAAAAAGCTTGTTATTCCCTTTATACGAAGGTCTAGAAAATGCAAAAGCATATCATTGGTGTCCTGGAGCCCACAGCTTGAGGGGAACAGGACCAACTGCCAAGGAGAACAAGGCAAATTTTTGAGATCACATTTTTTCCACCCTGATTATGGAGGTGGTGATGGTGGTGGTTATAAGACTGCTAAGAGTTTTAAAAACTCATCAGATTTTGGGGCCAGGGATTCAGCTCAGTGGTATTGGTGCCTGCACAAGCACAAGGTCCAGAGTTCGATCCCTGATACCAAAACAAAAACAAAACAAAATACCTCATCAAAATTTTAAGATGTTTGTAAATTATACCTCAATAAAGCTTATTCTTAAAAGCAAAACAAAAAAGGAATGTGTAGGATTTTTAAATCAGTTCACCCGGAGGGATCTTCATTATGTATTGTTATAGGAGAAAAGCAAGTTGCATGGGAGCAGGCAGAGTATGATCACCTTCAGTGCAACCACACTGGAGGAAAACGCTCTCCATCCCTTTCTGTGTGTAATGATGTTTACAAACTCATGGAGAAGTCTTTGGCAAAAGGATACACACCAGCCTGGAAACATAAGACACATCAAGGAGATGGAAATTAAGGGGTAAGTATTAAGTTTTTCTCTATACATCCTTGCATGTTTTCCTGTTTCACAATGAGCGCTATTGTTTTCATAATTAAAATATTCAAAATGGATATAAGAACAAAATATACATAAATGTGTCTATGGGCAGAATTCTGGCAGAAGGACAAGGCTACCTCATCACTGCAAAGAGGTTAAAGGGAACAGGATACAGTTGTTAAGACTTCACAAAAGAAAAAATTTTTTACGACTTCGGAGAGAGCATCTAAGCAGTGGGGTGGGATGTAGTACGTGGAAAACAGGTGTAGATTGGAAAGAAAGGCTTTGAGTGGAGACCACTTGTTTGGTTGTGAAAAGGAAATCAATAAACAGGAAGTCCAGGGATGTAGCTCAGTGGCATTGTGCCTGCCTCGCAAGCACAAGGTCCTGAGTTTGATTCCCAGTACCAAAATAAATAAATAAAATAGGACAGAGAGGGAGTCACAGATCAATTGGGCAACACTCCCCAGTATTGAGGATTGAACTTGGGGGTTCACGTTTGTTAGGCAAGTGCTCTACTACTGAGCTATATACATCCCAGCCCCCCCCCCTTTTTTGCTACCAGGGATCGAACTCAGGTTCTTGCACTTGCAAGGCAGGTGGGTGGCACCACTAAGCTAGATCCCTGGCCTCCCAGACCTTTTACTTTACTTTGAGACAGAGTTTAAATTACCCATGCTGCCCTTAAACTTGTGATCCTTCTGCTTCAGCCCTCTGAGTTCCTGAGATTCCAAGTGTGCAACACCATACCCAGCCATTGGAGGCTATTTTTTAGGAAAGGACAGCGTTACCTGAGGCTTTCTGATGGTGAAGAGAACCAATGAAGAGAAAGTTGCCAAAGGTGTTCAAGAATATGGGTATCAGGGCTGGGGATTTAGCTCAGTGGTTCCGCCACCTGCCTCGCCAAGCACAAGGATCCGAGTTTGATCCCTGGTACAAAAAAAAAAAAAAAAAAAAAAAAAAAAAAAGAATGTGGGTAATCAAATGGTGGTGAGAAAGACTTCAGCGTTAGAGGGACAGAAACAGATTTGTCAGTACTTTAGAACTCGATTTGTTTCATTCACAGCTGCCATGGACCTAGCAACACCTTTCCAAATCCTTATCTTTAATTTATTAATGTATTTTGGTTTACTGTGACTGTTACAGAAGGAATCAGTAAGTGATACACGGAGAGACAGCAGAATGGAAGTAAAATAATACATTTACTTATTGATAAGGGTCAATTGCACATGAGCCATGCCTGGATCGACGACGCACTGGGTTACAACTCCTCCTTTTATGGGGCCTTGACTTCATTCTGGTGGTTACATTTCATTCTCATAGTTCAAATCACGGTCACGGAATAGTTAATCTTTTCAAACTACAGGTAACAGTTCTTTGCAGTTGGGGAGTTTACCTTTAAGATTCGCCTAGTTATCTGTTCTAGTCCATAGGAAGGGGGTGTTCAGGGTCAGGGGAGCGAATGTTAGCCATGGGTTCTTTCATCTAGACACTCCTACGATCAGGTGGCTCCAGTCTCTCCCAAGCTCAAGCCCTTGATGTGCCCAGTTATCTCGGGATCAGACCAAATGCCTCATTCAGCAGTTAGTGCCTTTGGGGCCTATGAGTATTGAGCTAAACAAAACAAACTGCTGTTAGAGACAGCGGAAGCCATTTTTACATTGTAACACTTTATAGGTTTTGCTATTTATAAATGTTTTCCCTATCGAGACAGAATCTCACTTTTTAATGCAAGCTGGGCTTGAACTTACGATGTAGCCCTGGCTGGCTTTGAACTAAAGGCAGTCTACCTGCCGCAGCCTCCTGAGTGCTGGGATTACAGGTGTGTGCGTCAGCATGCCTAGCTCTTGTCTCTAATATTAACAGCACAACGTTCTAATAGGCAGCTGGGTCCTGAGTTTTAACCTGATCTCAAGCATCCACTGAGTGCAAAACACTCAGACTCTGAGCCTTGGTTTCCTCACTGGTAAAATGGGGTTAACAGTCTCCTTGCCTCCTACTGTTGCTGCACAAAGAGCTGTGCTTGCTACTCAGTGCTGTAAAACCAGAGATAACTCTGCGGTGGTGCGTTGATAGTCTGGACCTCTGATGTCACAATGCTCCTCCAGACTCCAGCGTCTTCATCAGGGAGTTGCAGATCCTTTGGAGCCAAGGAACGGAACTGACATGTGAGACTTTGGTCAACTGAAGGCTTCATGAGCAGATGCCTTTGCCAAGGTCTTTGTGAACAGTCTCTCGCCGTGGGATTGTGTCTTAGAAACTTTTACGTTTGATCATGATCGTGCTTGGCTGGATGCTTTTCGTTGGACTTGCATGTTACATGGGCACATTTCCAGAGGTGATGGTAAGTAATGGTCTTGTGTCTGAATCTCTAGTAGTCTGTTCTAGCTCTGCCTCACCCTCCTATCTGGGAGGAAGGAAATAGAGCTGAGGTCTCTCCACTAACTGGAAGCCAGGATGGAAGCGGAGCGGAACAGAGTTAGTTTCCTGGGCTCCTCCCCATCCTGTGAGGATACCCTTTTTTCCAAACTTTTAAATTTTTTTTTCTCTTTTCCTTTAACTTCGTTTCAAGACATTATGGAACTGATAAGGGGATCTTGCTGGAGACAGTGCCTGACTTCTAGGTTTCGAGTCAAGTAGGTCAGGAGTTGCTGATGGGAAGAATTGTGGGGCTGGGGGCCTCTGAGCAGCTCTTCTGCTCACCACACGGAGGCACTGAGCTAATGGAGCCATCTCCACCTTTAGTTTTATTTCCCTCTCAGCCTCCAACTCTGAAGTGGAAAGAGAGATGTCCTGTTCCAGAGAGCAAGGCACGATGGAGGAGCTGGGCTTTGGAGGAAGATCTGCCACTGTAAGAGGGTGGTCAGGGGCACTGGGCTGGGTGCCCATTTCTAGAGGACCCTGTGGCATCCTGGAATCTCAGCGGAGAGCTTTTCTTCTCCTGGAAAATACACTGAACTGCGGAAGGGGAAATGGTTTGAAGTGTATGCTGGGAAAAGAAGACTTGGGGGCTAATGCCGAGGACAGCAGGCCAACATTCAAGTCTATTAATACCTATTCCTTTTGAACATTTCCTGTTTATTGTTTTCTCCTCACAAACACTATAGTAGACCAATATTTTTAACACTCATTTTGGCAGATGGTGAAACTAGAGATAATATGAATTTGAAGCTCAAGTCCTAACTTTGCAACACTAGCCCTGACTTTGGGAAAGTTTAACTTCTCAGAACCAGTTTCTTCGTCTGTGCATAGGAACTATCTCCGAGTCTTCCTGTTTTGGTGAAGGTTATACTTAGGGATTCACGTAAGGCATTTAACGCAGGGTTTGACAGTATTTAGTGAAGTGTTAACTACTAAGCAAAATCATAAAGCAATCAGCAAACATGTACCGGTGACACCGTAATCCAGTGCCACACAGTCAGCCTGTTGTCCTTCACTTACTCCCCCGGCTGACCTGCCTAAGCAGCAGGAATGGCAGCAGTCCCACTGGCAAACCAGCTCCTGGGCTTCTTGCTTCTGTTTCATTCAAATGTTTGCTTTTCTCAAGAGCGAATCATACTGCTACAGAAAATTAACTCTTGATCGTTTTAATAATATATTCATCCCAGGAGCAGGCTTTTGGAGACGCTCCCCCAGAAGGTAGGGTTATCAGGCCCCAGGCCCGGGCATACCAAGAGCAACGTGTAACAGTGAGGCTTTTCTCCACGTGCCCCAGGGTTTCTCAGACAAGCATCGGCCCAAAGCATTTGTGAGTGTGGGGATTGTTCAGCTGAGCCACTGCCACATTGTGATCCTGATCAAACCACTCACTACTCCAGACCTCACTTCATCTGGCTGCGAAATAAGCACAATAAACCATCTTCCTTTCTTTCTCTGGAAAGTTACAAGGTTTGCATGATGGAGTAATTGCTCTTTCACAAAATGCAAGCTTTTTCTTCTTTGAAGTCTCGACAATAGCATATGAAGTTAATTGATCATAGTAAACATAGGCAGTTCTTCTAATAAACCCAGGTACTATTTTGTTCTTGGCATAGCAGTGTTTTTTGGTATCAGATTGCATCAAGCCAATAGTTAAATATTTTGGCATTTGCTAAGTCGTCAAGGATGTGCTGCCAGCTAGGTCTTACTTGCCACAGAACAGGGCTCCTTTGATTAGGTTTATTCAGCCCCAACACACCTGGCATTCTGGCCACCCACCCCACAGCTGCTCACTCTGACTGGGTCCCTGGTGTCACAGGGGCTGATGTCATAATTGGTACCTGAGTCCTGTCCCTCAGGATGGCCATGGAGAGTCCTGTTAGTTCAGACTAGACCACGAAGATCCTCAGCCAGGAGCTGCCATGCAGGGCCACCCACCCATCATTCGGACTTGAGTGGAGACAGCCCATTCCCAGGACTCGGGGCAGAGAGCACCACACCTTCCAGGACCACCATTCCCCCGCCCGCGGACGCCGGCAGCTGAACAAGAAGCCCCACCATGATTGTTGTCTTATGGATGCTTCTCATTGCAGGAACCATGTGGAAGGGATATAAATATCCCCCAGGAGGGGTGAGTGCTCCTTCAGCTTTGTTCTCTATTCTTACTTTGAGGTCCAGTCCCCTAGTTAAACATACTAAAGAATGGAAGTCCAAATCCAAATATTCCTTTCTGTATTTAAAAGTAAGTCACTACAGCTTAACTTACTTCAATTATTCACACTCTACTTGGCATTAAGAGAGTTCTCAACTTTCTTGTGCTCTTTTATTCATATTTTCTTGAGTATTATTTAAGTTCTTCAGCTGGAGATAAAGAAAAAAGGCTATTCCTGGCCCAGTCAAAACTTTTGGACTTTAGTGACTTAGTGTTTCACGGATGGCCGTTTTGATGTTCAGCCTTCTAAACCATTTCCTGTCTCGGCCACTTCAGCAACCCCGACTTAACCCTTCCTGAGCACTCACTGGCCAAAGGGTTCTTTCTGGTAGCAAACAGCTCTCCTGCTGCTTTTCAGTTCCCACACTGCTGAGCTCCCCTGGCAGAGGCCTTGGGTTAGCCGAATCAAATCGGACCCTTGCCAACAGCAGCAGTTGCCTCAGCCCTACACCCTAGCAAACACTAGACTGGCCTGACATCCTTTTCTTCTCCCCACCAGACCCCTGTGGAAATAAGCAAGGATGATCCTGGTGAAGTAATGCAGCTCTGAAGCTTACCTGGCTAGCAGTACAGTTCCTGTTGTTGGTGTCACATAAAGTAATTGCACATTATTTTGTCATATGAAGTCACCACACTTGTTAAGTTGAACAAAAACTTGAAGGGAGGAAGTTAGAGTAGATGGGATGATTGGATTCCTCTGTTGCATAGTCTTTAAGGCTGGCATTAAGACTTAAGATACTCGTTCAGTCTGCTCCCTCTTCTGTCAGGTCCTAAGGACAGAGATTCTCTAAAGCTCTTTAGACTTTCTAGGTCCAGGGTCCAGAAGTACAAAATGTTTCAGAAAGTGCTAGACATTGTAGCAACTTTTTCAATATATTTTATTTTTCCTTGACTTTTTCCCAGCCATTACTTAGGAACCCAAAGCTTACCGCATGTGGGAAAAGGACTTTAACACTAAAAGGAAAAGAACTTCTAATACTAAAATAGGATTAAGGATAGATACTAAAGTACACCTTATTTCAAACCTTACAAAAACTTTCTGAAGCTGGTATTAGCTGCTTTTTACATAGTGGCAAAATGAAGTTGAGAGGCCAAAGTGTCCTGTTAATACACACAAGGCTGGACTGCAGTCAAAACCTGGGCCTTCTCGAATGTATGCCTTTATGTGGCAAGGCAAAAGTCAAAAATTTTTTTTTTTTTTTTTTTTTGGTACCGGGGATCGAACTCCAGTCCATGTGCTTGCAAGGCAGGCGGCGGCACCACTGAGCTAAATCCCCAGCCCTTAAAATTGGTGTTTTTTCGACGTAGTCTTGCTATAGCTCAGGCTGGCCTCAAATTCGCAATCCTCCTGCTTCCCAAGTGCTGGAATTACACGCGTATTACCACATCTGGCTTTTTGGGTTTTATGTTTTGGGGTATCATCTTGCTGCTTAAATGTCTCTCATTTGAAAAGTGAAGTGGTCTGATGATCCTTTATGTAGAAAAAAAGGCTCCTGTTAATGCTCAATCCTCAATATGATGCAGGGTTTGTGAAACACGCATGAGAACTTAAGTATATATGGCATACTAATAAATACAGCTGTCCGAACCCCAGGATCTTAGCAACACCTTTAAAGGTGGTTTGGGATTTCACACAGGGCCTGGGAACTTGGGGATGACCGACAAAGTTACATCGTTCAAAAGAAATGCACAATTTCCAGGAAAGTCCTTTTAGGTACGTAGTAAACATTGTTATCTGGAACACATTTGCTAAATTACTTTAAGTCACTCCCGTGTTGGACCGCCCGTTTTATGGAAAGGAAAATGAATTCAAAAGTCAAACACAAGCGTTATAATATCTGAATCTGGGATCCTAGCATCTCTCGTGCTTCTTACACAGCCTACACTCAACACACTGTAGGTAGACATGTTGCCTACGTTCTCTGGCTGTGTCTACTACTTCATATATATCCTTAAGAGCCATCTCAGCATCTACGCTCTTTTTATTATAGGGATCAGAACTACTCATTTTGACAAGAGGAACTATAGCCAGCTCTGCTTCTTCCAAACTGGGCCACGTAGCTAGATTCTTATTGCCCTAATCACCTGACAGTTCTCCCTAATGCGGGTGTCAGACAGTACCTCAAGCTAGCAGCAGACGAGGAAAGAGATCAGTGGTAGGGGCTGAAGAAGACGGATGTGTAAGGGAGGATGAGCAGAGGAGTGTGTCAAATCTATACTTGTTACATCTGATGAGGCTACTGAGATTTTTTTCCCTGGGAAAATATTCAAGGTGGTAAGAAACAGCTTGAAGTTTTAATCAATAAATGCAAACCAGTAAAAATATCAATAAAATATTTTTAATGCCTACAATTTCTTGTATACATAAATTGCAAAACATTCACCTGTATATGCAAAAGTATATTCTCTTGCAGGTCAACAGCACCAGAATACAAGCTAAGCTATGTAAAGTTTTTTTTAAACTTGATTTGTCCATTATGTAAAAGACATGACAGATTTAATAACTCCAAAGAAATCTATATTCCCTTCTTAGTTATACACTAAACACCTGAATATTTATTTCATCACATCCACTCACAAAATAAATAGTAGTCTATATATTCAGCACGCTGAAAATAAAACAACCAGTCTCTCTTCATATATTTATTCTCTTTCCAAAAATGTTTTGGTCTCCTGCTATCTCTCAGAAATGTACTAATAGCTGCTTTTAAGTTATAAAATACAAAATAACAATTTCTTGGAGAAAATCTTGGGGATTACTATTTAAAAAATGAAATTTTGACTTCCCATAGACTTTCATTTTTGTTAACAGTCTTTGAACTTTCTCACGGCACACATGTAAGGCCGCCTGTGACATGTGGTACCCTGGCCTCCAAATGACATTACTTGCATTTATAGCTTCGAGAAAATACAAAGACGAGTTCTGAAAGTAGCTTTAGGAGAAAGTGCCCTCTGCTTTGATATAGCAACATCAGAAGCAAGTGGGACTGTGCAATCAGAGCTATGAGTTTTATGAAAACTACTTTCCTTTCACATCATTGTGTTAAGAGAATGCCACACCCATGATCATTACAATGTGAAATCACGTTACTACATTCGAGAATTAACATTACCCAATAAAAGGCACATCTTCAAATATTAAGAAAATCTGAAAATCAAAACATGGCAAATACATTAAAAAATCAAGCACTTAATTTGTAAACTTTGATAAAATAACAGCCTATTCCAGTTTCTTCAAAGGCTTGTGAGTTTTTAATAGTCAGGAAGTATAGAACAAAATGGAAGACAGGATTTGGAAACAAGGCCAAGAATAAAACTTGTAGCTTTTCCTTTTCAGTAAGCCACAAGCTGTTCCTTTACAGTGTTAATGTAATCACTGTTATATAAGAAATGTACTCAGAAGTGATAGGCATTAAAACCTGACTCTTCCTACCAAGTCCTGGAACTTCTGGAAATTGAGTACAATGGTTCCTTTCTGTGCAAATCACTGCACCACATCCTTAAGAGCTAGCAAACTTTTAAGCCACCAGAAACCTTTCAGCTATAAGCATTTGATTGTAATAAGATTTCAGAGTCTCAATATTGAAAATAATATATCTAAGGAAAACTTTTGTTGGGGCACCTAAGTGATGGCAAAGAAAATAATGTTCCAAACCTATTTTATTAAATGGATTATCACACTACCCTTGAATCATTTTCACTGATGGGAGATGGGTGAGTTGATGAGGTTCTCTGCTACCAGTGAAACAGATCTATGTGGCGAGTTAGGGTTATTCCTGGTGAATGAAGACATCTTTCATGGGCTTCAACTTTAAATCCTTGCAATTTCCAAGTTTGAAACTCAGTTCAAAATGAATTAAGTCTTAAAAAACTGGGTCACAGGTCCCATTAAAGAAGCCTAACAGGGGCCAGGGATTTAGCTCAGTGATGCCACACCTGCCTTGCAAGCACAAGGCTCCTGAGTTTGATCCCCAGTACCAAGAAAGGGGTGGGGGAGGAAGCCTAACAGTGGTAATCTATGATTCCCATACTTAAAAAATAGACATTAGCCGGGCGTGGTGGCACATGCCTGTAATCCCAGCACTCGGGAGGCTGAGGCAGGAGGATCGCTGTGAGTTCGAGACCAGCCTGGGCTACATAGTGAGTTCCAGGTCAGTCTCAACTGCATAGTGAGACCTTGTCTCAAAAAACAAACAAACAAACAAACAAAAAATAAAGACATGGGTAAAAAAGAATATACAAAAATGCTAGGACCTGATGAACAATAAGGATTCTTTGTAGGGCAAGCCCTCTTACTTCCTATTCCCCCAGCCAATGGCTTGAGATACCCAGAGCACTTACTGCAGAACTGCTCTGACAAGCTTAGTTCTGACTGCTTCCAAGCCCTCTGCACTGAGTCAAGGACAAATGTCCTCGAGCATCAACACAGCATCACAGCATCACTGTCCTTGACACCTGGCTTCCTCTGAGCCAGATCCTTGGTTGGCTTGACCGGAATGTCTGGAATGGAGGCTTAAGTGATACAAAGTCTACAGGGATAACTTAAAGAGAGGTGAAAATGAAGAAAGTTCCATGGCCCAGAAGAACACCTGCAGGGAACACCCGTTCTACCATGGGGGAGGGAGAATCTCTTCACAGTGCATAGTTTGAAATCAAAGTGCAATATGGGCAAAAGAGAAGGTGGTGCTCTTCATACACACAAATTTAGTTTTTGGTTTTTTGCTATTAACATTTGCTAAGGAATTTAGGCTAAAAATGCAAAGTCATTAACATCAAGAGGTACAGGGGCACCTTGGGATTCCAAAATATCTTTGATTGGGAAGAAGAATAAGGTGGAGAGGAGTCTCACATGTCACTTCATTATTTTTAAACTATTATTCTTTTAAATCTAATATTTGAATAAAATATTTTTTCTTCAGTATAAAAATGAATTAAGATCAGCACAGTGACCTTGTCTGTTTTACTGAAGCCAACGTAACAGTAAATTGGAAAACTCAGAATATTCTTATATTGGTGTGATCTGTATTTTAACTTGGAAACATTTTTTAAATTGCCTAATCACCTAAATTAAGAATGCTCAGCATCCAATCCATGAATAATGTAGAATACAATAACTCACTGTATTTTGTACCTCAAAGTCACAAGGATGACATCCATGTGAAAATTTAAAGCATACTCTACATTGTTAATTTCTTAATCCAAACATATAGATTAAGACAGGTCACTTTATTGCTGGCAACATTCATGGAAGGGCCAGTTTTTTCATCATAAGTTAAATGTGGGAGCCGAGAGGTGTCCTACTCACACATCAGCAGAATTGGGAGTCTCTTCCTTTTAAAGTAGTAAAGGAACAGCAAGGGACTGGCTGGCTGGTGAGTGGCACCGCGTCAGGGCGCACACGCGGGCACGGCACCATCTGCACTACCCATCTCATCTTGGAGTATTCAAAAGCACTTCCTGCTCAAAGGATAGCCATAAATGACAGTACGCATTCCTTCTCCTTGAGGGCTCAAGTATAAATCTAAACTGATAAGGGACTTAACTCAGTCTGAAGGAAGGAAATCCTTGCAGCAGTAATCCTAGAATTTCACAAAAATAAATCAAAGCAGCAGCTAATGTCTCTTCAGCTTCTTGGCCTTTCGACGTTTCATTTCTTCTTCTTCGCGTCGCATTTCCTCTAAGTCCTCTTGCATACCTAGTCTTAAACTGTTGAAAAAAATGGTATTTGTCAATACACATGTAATTAAAATTACCACTTTAAAAGACAGTGAAATCGGCTGGACGAAAACATGGATTGTGCTATGCTCCAAAATGCCCCAAGACTTTACTGCTGAAAACGTTCAGAGGTCACAGACCTAAACTGTTGGAGAAAAAACAATCTCACAAGAAAAAAAATACTTCACTACTCCCATTAATGAAAGATAAATAGACTGATTCATTAATAACATTCTATTTTTGTTTTTCCCCAACTCTTTAGTTTGACCTTTTTTTCTGAGATGAGGTCTCATTCTGTTGCCCAGGCTGGCCTCAAACTCTTTTTTTTTGGTACTAGGGATCGTGGCCCTGCCACTTGCAAGGCAGGCACTGGAACCACTGAGCTAAATTCCCAGCACTGGCATCAAACTCTTGATCCTCCTGCCTTGGCCTAAAGGTATGTATTGCCAAGGCTTGACATTTTAGCCACCAATAAAGTTACAATAGGGGAGGTCAAGAGAAAAGAGAGGTTTAGTATTGTGGGTTGAGATGGAAGTGAACTATTTACTTTTAATGGATAAGCATTAATAGTTAATACTGTATTTATTACTTCTACTGGAGAAATTTTCACTACCAGATACCTAACAGGAACCAGAAGAGAATCTAATATACCTCCCCTGGGTCCCCAAGGTCAGCAAAGTTACAGGTTAGCAAGAGAGATGGATCTGATGTCAATAACAATGACTAGGGAAAGAAGGCTTCTAAGATTTACTGCGTCCTGCCGGGTGTGGTGATACCTGTAATCCCAGCACTCGGGAGGCTCAGGCAGGAGGATCGGATCGCTGTGAGTTTGAGACCAGCCTGGGCTACATAGTGAGTTCCAGTTACATAGTGAGACCCTGTCTCAAAAAAAACAAAACAAACAAACAAAACCAAACCCCACAAGATTCACTGTGTCCCACAGGAGGTGCTATGCTGCAGCACCTTGTCCCTACTGTCTTCACCTCCACAAGCACAGCACAGTACTTTTCATCTAAAGAGATGAGAAAACATCTAGAAAAGCTAATTATTTGTCCAGAGGCCTGTACAGCTTATCAGCAGGATTACAACCCAGAACTGTGGCCCATGGCTGCTACTCCCAATGCTTCGACTGTACCAATAACAGAAAAAGAATGTTAAGTTTTGTGCTTACCTCTTTGCTTCTTCTTTCTGCTGCTCTTTCCAACTACTCTCCATGTAACGTAAGGCATAATCACTTTCATCTTTGTACCTGAGACAGGGAAATCAAAATGTTTAAAATAAAGGCCAAAAATTAAATTTTCTATAGATCTGTATCTTCTCATTTAAAAAATGAGGGGATTTATTAACTCAGTGGTGGTGCCTCTCAAGTACAAGCTCAATCCCGGTATCAAAAAAAAAAAAAAAGTCAACATCTGAATCTAATACTGAAGTTACCAATCCAACGCTTCAACTCATCTACACTTATTTGATAATGGTTTAACCTAGAAAATAGAGCTAGGTTAGTGACGTTTTTTGCTTGTTGTTTCTGAGACAAGGTCATGACATGCTGCCCAAGCTGGCTGTGAACTTGCAACCCTCCTCCCTCAGCCTCTCTGTAGCTAGGATTATTGGCACACATCACCCCATCTGGTTCAGACTGAATTATTCTGAGTCAGGGTTTCACTGTGTAGTTCAGGCTGACCTTGAACTCACTATGTAGCCCAAGCTGGACTCAAACTTGTGGCAATCCTGCCTCAGCCTCCCAAGTGCTAGAATTACAGGCAGGGCCACATGCCTAGCCTAATTTTTTTTTTTTTTTTTTTTTGGTACCGGGGATCGGACTAAATTTTTAGATTTGATTTTTTTTTTGGTACAGGGTACTGGGGTCCTTGCGCTTGCGAAGCAGGCGCTGGAACCATGAGCTAAATCCCGGCCTTGATTTTTAATCTAGTTCTTCCATCCACTCTATTAAATGTCTTTTTTTTTTTTTTTTAATGGGCCTTTCTTCAAATAGCTTTATAAATTTCTCATATTCAGGGGCATCTAAAGGCATAGTGATTTATAGTGACTGTGATAAGTTTCATGTTTTACATATATTTGACCTCATTTAACCCTTCTAAAATGTCATTTTAAAAAATTTACTCAAGTTTACCTAGCTTAGTAAGTAGTGGAACTTCAAATCCCAATCTTTCCTTAATACCAGTGCTTTTCAAGCTGCAGTGTACATATATACAAAACCACTTGGGAGTCTTATAAAGCAGACTTAGATTCAGGAGGCCTGAGAGGCTGCCTTGGGAACAAACTCGCAGGTTTCTCAAAGCTGCTGCTTCCAAACTGCTGTCCTGGGACCACATTCCTGACTAGCAAAACTCCACATCAAAGAAAAGTAGCTTTCACATCAGAATGGCTCTCAGCCCAGCTCTATGAATGGCTTTCTGACTTCAAAGCCAATCTGTTACTCTACAAAGCTATTTCACTCTCCTCAAATATATCTTGTAATTACGGGCAACATTTCAAAAGGGGTACTTTTTGGTCTTTGTGAAAATAACCACCTACACCATTTTGAATTCATTCTAAAATATTAAGCATCAAAAGAGTAAATCTATTGAAAATAACAACCACCCAGGGGTCACTAATTAAGCATTGTATTCAATGGTTCTGCTGTTAATGTTTTTTCTCCCCTATAATATGAATTACTCAAAAAGAATATATTTAAAGCTCCTTTAGACTTACTTTTTCCTGTCATAGCCAAAAATTTCTCGAATATGCTTTGATATTTCTTCCTGAGGTTCCCCTTCATCTTCAATAAAATCATCCATTTCAGAGTCATATTCATCATCATCATCTTCCTCTTCATAATCTCGCTGCCTTTTGTAGCCAGCAGGGAAGGGAAGCCTTTGAGGACCTATGAACAGAAAACATTATTTGTTCTTTTGGTACCAGGGTGAACTCGGGCCCTTGCGCTTATGAGGCAGGCAGCGGAACCACTGAGCCAAATCCCCAGCCCAGAAAACATTTATCTGTAAGAACATTAAAACTTGGGGTGTTTCCAGCGGAGTTGTAGGTAAAGTGAGATTCTGAGACATCATTAAGACAGTGGCCTTAAAGTGCAGAGAGTAGACCAGGCCTCAGCATGGTGTCATTACAGTATCTCTGCTGCGTACGTTCTCCTGAAGGCCCAGAACTCGGGTTTATCCCAGTGCTTACTAGCAATGCTTTGTTACACTTTCTAGCTCAGTAGAGCCCATACTTCAGGGATTTCAAAGATCAGTAAAATTTCTAAAACTGAGTAAGTAAAAGTTACAAACTGCAACCAGAATTATTAACCATTAAAAGCAGCCCCTTCAACCCTTCAAAGTTCTTTCATTTAAGAAGCTTAAATTCTGTGTATGCCTATAGTTTCTTTCAGCTAGTTAGGAGCCTGGGACAGAACTGCCTGAGCCTGGGAGTTTGAAGCCACCTGGGCAATGCAGCAAGGCTTTGTTTCAAAAATAAAGTCCAACAAGCCGGGTATGGTGGCACACACTTGTAATCCCAGCACTTGGGAGGCTGAGGCAGGAGGATCGAGGTGAGTTTGAGACCAGCCAGGGCTACATAGTGAGTTCCAGGTCAGTCTCAACTACATAGTGAGACCCTGTCTCAAAAAACAAAAACAAACAGAAAAAGTCCAACAAAGTAAAAAGACATACCCAGTATTAAAGGCATTGTTTAAACTAACTAAATCTGACCTCAGGAAAAACACGATCACCTTACTTTTGTCATTTTGCTAAAAGACTGCAAAAGACAGGAAGCAATCTAAAGACCAACATGTGGGAACAACTGTTGTCTAGTCTTTGACTACACTTTTTTTGTTCTTTTATAATTGTGATATGCTTGGCCTGTTTCCCCAGCTCAGTTTCTCAGCCTTGGCACACTAATATTTGGGGGCTGTCTTGGGCATTGTTCATGGCAGCACCCTTGGCCTCTACCCACCAGATCATCATTAACACTCCCTCGTTTACCCTAGCCCTGTGACAATCAAAAAATATATCCAGACAATGCAAAATGTCTCCACAGAGTGGGGTGGGGGGGTCGCACTTGGTTGACAATCAGTGGTCCAGCTGAATTAAGAAACTTAAAGGAGCATCACTGGTTTGTTTTTATATTCTCCGTGGCGCTTAACAAGTCAGTACATTAACATGTGCCTATTAACATGAAGGAAGCATTGCTTAGAAGCTGGCAGGTGCCACCAATGAGCCTATACCTTGGGAGAGCTCACTTATAGCAGCAGTGGTTAGGATCTCGAAGCAGCCATTATAAAGAGAAGAAACACAATGAGTCTAAAACATCTCCTGGCATTTAATAGGTGCTTAACAATTTTTGCTGGATGAACAGCGCACTAAAGGCTTCCAGTTTGCAACTATACTCTGATCCTTGAAGATCATCTTTTTCATGAAGACCAAAAAAACCTAATTAAGGCATGTGGAGTCACCCTATCTCATAAATGACAGTCTAATGCACTTGGGGACATTGCAGTGTAAACACACAGGACCTTAGATAAGTCCCTTTCTAAAGATTTTTCCAAGCCACCATCAATAAAGGACAAAGCACAAAGCAAACAAAGTATCAGGCTCTATCAACATGAGTACATTAAAGGTCACATGGAAGGGTTCACAGGGTCCCTGGTTATACAGAACAAAGTACTCTTTCTAATTTCTTAGCGGGAGGCAATTTTACCTTGGGCAGATCTGTAGCCTGACAGAGGAGGCTTCATTCCATTCATCTGCCCATTGCTGGACTGGCTGATAATATTCTTGGAAGAAATTGTTTCCGAGACAACAGTGCACTTGGGCCTTATGTGGGGGCCTGGGCTGCTAACTGTTCGCCCAGGTCCTGAGCTGCTCACTGGTCTCCCAGGGCCTGAACTGTTAACAGTCCGTGCAGCGGGCACTGAGCCACTTACGGATCGTCCGGCACCACTGACTGGCCGTCCAGGGGGCCCTGAGCCACTCACAGGTCGTCGATCATGTGAACTGCTTATAGGTCGCCCAGGGCCGCCAGAGCTGCCCGCAGGTCTCCCGGAACTACCTGAGCCACTGACAGGTCTCCCAGGGCCGCTTATACCACTGACTGTCCGCCCAGAAGAATTTGAGTCACTGGACAGCTTCTTAGTCCCACTGACTGATCGCTCAGGTCCTGAGCTGGAGCTGCCGTTCTGGTGCCTGGGCATAGAGCCAGAACCAAGTGTGGGCCGAGCAGCCCCTGGACTGGGCCTCCCGGGGGCTGAGCTGGTGGCGCTGCCTGGCTGTCTGACGCCTGGACTCTTAGCCTTACTCTGGGGAGTGACCGTAGGCCCAGGTTTGGAATGGCTAGGGTGGGAAGAAGGGAGCTTTTTGGCTTTGTGCTCAGTAGCAGATTTCTGAGTCCCGCTAGCAGAAGTCTTTGGGACACTTAGTGAATAGGTGCTGCAGTGGGGCTTCCCAGTCCCATTGAAAACAGGTCTGTCATGAGCCTCACGAAGTGAGGGCTGGGAGCTGTTGCCAGACCCTGCCTTGGTCCTCTCTCCGGGCACAGATTTGGATGAAGACAAAGCTAAATGTTTCTCACTGACTGTACTGGGTCTGGATTTCTTCTCCGTATGAGGAAAGGGCATTCCTTTGGAAGAAGGGTGCCTGTCCCCAGGAACTTTGTTACATTTTGTGCCCACACTTTCCTTCTGAGAGGGTGCCTTCTTAGATACAGTTGGAGGTAGTTTTGCATCTGTCTCCAGTTTCTTTTTCCTATGCTTTCGTTCAAGGAATTCTCGCTCCTTAAGTTCTTGTGCAGTCATAGGTCGCTCTTCTGCTTTCTTCACCACTTTGATCTCCACTGGTTCAAACTGCTTTTTCTCAGCCAGCCTCAGTAAATCAGTGAAGTTCATGGGTGGTGGGGCACTTTTAAGGGGGACCTTTGGTTTGCGCTCTTGTTCTTCCTCATACTCCTGCTCCAACTCCGCCTGACCATATTCTAAGAATTCATCCTCTTCTTCCATCTCGTACTCTTGGTCTATTCCCTGGCTGGTGTGGCTCTCCATCGCCTGCCTCCTCTTTGACTTCTCCTCAACAGGAATCCCATTGTAACCATGGAAATTATCCTTTGTCCTCTTGGCCATAGCTCTTGCTTTCTTGTCATGTTTGAGCTCAATTCGTTTTTTCACTAGTTCTTCTTTTCTCCTTTTCTCTTCTAAGGCTAAAAGGACAGAACAAGAACATATTATTTCAAGGATGCAAGGCAGAATGCTCATCTCAAATCAGTAGGTGGCCAAATCAACATTCAAGTTACAGTTTGATGTTTTCTAGGAATCAAATGAGGAAGTCACTTGAACAAGTATCAGTTGAGTCATCTTTATACAATCAGTGGATCACATATCGGCTTTTCTATATGACTAAGCAAGTAAGAGACTTGGCTTTCAGTTTTGAATATAGAAAACAGCTTACACCAAATATACCAAGTTAAGTGAACATTTGTACCCACTTAGAAGATGCTAATCATTCTGAATCAAAGAATAAATTTACAAATTCTTTGTCATTTTCACAAAGCAAAAGTGTATCTTGAACTTGACAGCTTTAGAAACATCACTATTTTAAATTTTTAAATAGCACTCTTAGGCTGGGGATGTAGCTCAGTGGCACAGTACCTGCCTGGCAAGCACAAGGTTCTGAGTTTGACTGCTGGTACAGGTTAAAAAAAAAACAAAACTGTACTCTTATTAATAAAAATTCAAAACAAGTAGGAACAATTTCAGAACCAAGGTTAAAGAATACAGAGTTCTTATTGGGAAATTATAATGGCCAATCTAACGAACGACAAGATCACTAAACCTACCCCTCCCAATTTTATTTATTTATTTTAAGAGACAATGTTTTGGGGCTGGGAATTTAGCTCAGTGGTTCTGCCACTTGCCTTGCAAGTGCAAGGTCCTGAGTTTGATCCCTGGTACACAAACAAATAAACAAACAAACAAAACTATACAAAGAGACAAGGTTTTCTTCAGGCCTGTCCCAAGTTTTCCTGGGTTCAAGTGATCCCCCTGACTCAACCTCCCAAGTAGCTGGGACTATATATGTGTGTGCCCCTATGCTCAGCCCCAGAAAGACTTTAATTAAAGAGAGGATAAAAGAAAACTTCTAGGGACAGGCATGGTGGTGCACACCTGTAATCCCAGCACTTGGGAGGCTAAGGCAGGAGGATTGCTGTGAGTTTGAAACCAGCCTGGGCTACACAGTGAGTTCTAGGTCAGTCTCAACTATATAGTGAGACCCTGTCTCAAAAAACCCGAAAAACAAAACAAACAAACAAATTTCTATACAAATGACCAACATATGAACATGCATGAAAGCCATAAATATAGCTATCCCAGGTATTCATACACTTACACACCCCAATTCATTGGTCTGTTGTTTTTAGAAACATGTGCTAGTTAGTATCCCTCAAAAAACTAAAAACAGCTGGTCATAGTGGTGTAATCCCAGCACTCAGGAGGCTAAGGCAGGAGGATTGCTATGAATTTGAGACCAGCCTGGGCTACACAGCGAGTTCAAGGCCAGCCTGAACAGCATAGCAAGACCTTGTCTTAAAAAAAAAAGTGTTATGTATGTGTGCAACCTCCCCATGATGAATGTAATCATTATGTACTGCAAACATGTACTAATTAAAAATTTAAAAAGAGACATTGCTTCTGGGCCTTTTGGTAAAATTTAAAAAAGAAACATCCACTGATAAATACAAAATGAACACATAGGTAGAAGGCTTTAAAACTGAAAATAAGGATAGAGATACATACCCTTTCGTCTGAGCTCCTCTTCTTTTCTTCTAAGAAAAGCTTGTACAGCTGCTGATTGGACACCTTTAACTTTTGGGTCTTTCTTAGGAGGTCCCACTGCCAAACTATACCTTTTCTAAAAATACAAACAGAATAAACATTTTAAGCAATTCAAATTTCAAAATATTTTCTCTGGACCTAGGAGTGTAGCTCAGAGGTAGAATGACAGGCTTCCTCAGAAATCAGCATCTCAAAGTTCAACTTTTCAAACAAACAGAAAAACTCCTTACAACTGTTTCCTATTCTGACTATGCTTACACCATGTGATCTTCTACTTGGGACACACTGCAAAGGTTATTTGCTTAGAACGTGGAAACACTATGATTTTGATACCACAGGCAAAGGCTACGGCACCTCAAAGAAATCTTGAGAAGCACCTCAAACAGTGTTTGCCTGGAATGTATGAGGCCCTGGGTTTGCTCCCTAGCAACACACACACACACACACACACACACACACACAAATACTAAATACAAGAAGGTGGTATAGGGGGTTACACACCTGTAATCGCAGCTACTCCAGGAACTGGAGCAGGAGGATCACAAATTCAAGCTCAGCCTGGGCAACTTAGTGAGATTATCTCAAAGTAAAAAATGAAAAAAAGGGGCTGGGGATTTAGCTCAGAGGTTCAGTGGCCTGCCTTGCAAGCGCAAGGACCCATGTTCAATCCCCAGTAAAAAAAAAAAAAAAAAAAAAAGTATGTATGTATGGTGAAAAAAAGGCTACAAATGTAGCCCAGAGCAAAAACCTTAGGCTCAATCCCCAGCATCACAAATACATAAATACAAGGTATGTGGGTGGAGGCTATACTGAGAGAAGAGCCCCAATTCTCTGTAATCTTTAACTGAAGTTCTTATATTATCAATTTGCTATATAAACTGTCATTTTAGACAGGTGACCACATTACCCCCCCAAGTGCTAATACTATCCTGTCTCTGGATTTTGTATGTAATTACTAAAACAAAAATAATAATTGGAACTATGAAAGGAAAACTATTTCTATTTTGTGAGGATCTATTAGAAGTATAATAAACAGAGACCTATTCAGACAAGAAATGATTCACCTTCAGGATCATTCTACATTAAATTTATGAGCTAGGAAACAAGGTTTTCTTAAAAGATTTTTTTTTGCAGTTCTAGGGAACAAACCCAGGGTCTTGTGCATATAAGCCAACCACTCTACAACTGAGCTACATCCCCAGCCCTGGAAATAAGATTTTTAAAGTATTCTCCCACTTTTATCTTGTTAGGCAGATGCCATTCTTATCTATTGAAACTGCTGCTATGTTTATAGGAAAAAAAAACAATTTGAGACCACAGCAAGCAACTTAAAAAACAAAAAAGTATTTCCAGTGTGTATGAAACTCCTGGGGGAAAGCCAAAGGACCTGTGGTTTTTATAAGGCTGCCAAATGCAAAGTTTCTTGAAACAGGCTGAAGTTCTTTCTAACCAAATTAATCAATCAAGCAGCTGGCCAATTAGGCAAGCCCTAATCCAACCTGAAAATCCTGCAGGATAACAACGCTGAGAACTGACACAACCCTGACAGAGAAATCCCAAGGCAGCACCCAATTTTTTCCCCTGCCACCATGGCTGGGACACAATGAGATCCCGGGGTTAGTCCATATCCTTATATCAGAATTGTAGACTCTACAGTGAATAGGGGCCCGGAAACTAAAAGAAAGGAAAAAGAAAAGAGAGGATAGAACACTAAAGGAGAAAAGAAAATATTACTAACCTAACTAGATATATAAAATTTATAAGAAGAGAACTTGAAGCCTAGGCCTTATCTATAAAAAACTACCATGGCAATGCTACCATGAATAAAAACAGAAAATCTGAATTGATTAACACATACAAAGGCCCATAAACAGTCACACACTCTCTATCCATCAGAAAGATCTGGAAGAGGAAACTCAGATTTTTGTTGCCAAGACATAAAAATTTCCTGTTACTGCCTAACTACATACACAGTTGATAGGGCTGAGGGTGTAGCTCAGTGGTAGAGCACTTGCCTAGCATGTGTAAGCCCTGGGTTTGATACCCAGCACTACAAAAAAACAAAAAATAGGCCCGGGGATTTCAGTAGCATGATGCCTGCCTTGCAAGAGCAAGGTCCTGAGTTCAATCCCTGGTACTAGAAAAAAAAAAAAAAAAATTATATCTCAGTCACCTGCCAAATCACAGCTTACACAGGGTTTGGCTCAGAAAAATAATGTGACCATAACAGTCTGTGTTACTCATGCACAGCAGGACTAGTTTGTTGTCTGGGTTATCAGTGCACTGAGCTTTACCTAACATGATTTTCTGGAGATCTTTTGTCCTTAACCTGGGACTTTAAGAGACAGAAATGGGGATATGGACTAAGAGAAAGGCTGCTCCTTACTGAATACTAGTACTCAAAAGACAAAAGAGACAATGGGGCAGTGTTTACCAAGCGTCTGGTATTTATTTGAACATCACCTTCAGGATTTCTCCCTTTTAGGTACACTACCTGTACTCCCGACCCAGTTTTTTGAGACAGGGTCTGGCTAAGCCCAGGCTCGCCTCTAACTTGGGATCCTCCTCCTGCCTCATCTTCCTGAATGTTGGGATTACAGCTATGGGCCACCATGTCTGGCTGCTGTACTATTATTAACTAAGTTAAGAAAATTAAAGTAGACCTAACACCATGATCTAGAACTATGTTGCTAAGTTTTGCCTCAGCAATATTGTTTACATGAACTAAGTCATAATAATGGTTTCTTATATCCCCTGAAAGGGGCAAAGTGAACTCAAATGTACAGATACCTGAAAAGTATTATAAGATTTTGTTAGGCAAGGTTTAGATCATAACCTAAAAATCTAGAGGAATGGGGAGAGCTGGGTCACCATAGATCATTTTATTTAGCATTTTTGAGATTTAATTTACAGATCACAGAATCCACCCATTTGGTACATACAATTTTTGGTATATTCTGAGCTGTACAACCATCATCGATTCTAGCACATTTTCATCACCTCAAAATGACACCCTTCCCCCTTTAGTGGTTACTCCTGCTCCCCTCTACCCACAGCTCCTGCCAACCACAAATGTACTGTCTGTCTCTATGGACAGACCCATTCTGGCCACTGCATGTAAGTGAAGTCATATCACATGGAGCTGTGATGGGTAATTTTGTGTGCCAACTTGGCGAGGATACTGTACTAGTTATTTAACCAAACCCTAATCTAGAGGATACTATGAAGGTGTTTTGTATTTCCAACAATTTTTATTAGTAGTATAATTTGTTGTTTTATTCTCTAAATGACTTTTTTTGTGGGGGGGAGAGGTGCTTTGCAGATGTGATTAACATCTATAATCATCTGACTTTAGGTACAGCAGATTACTTTCTATAATGGGATTGGGTCTCCTCCAATCAGCTGAAGGACTTCAGAGCAGATCTCTAGCTTCAGAGAATTCTACCTCAAGACTACAACATTAATCCTGCTTTATTTTCCAGCCTGCAGGCTGCCCTACAAATTTTGGATTGCCAGCCTCCATAATCGATTCCCTAAAATGAAGCCAACTGAGCCTGTTTCTCTGGAGAATACTGACTGATGCAGCAGCCCTTTGTGTACTTGACTTCTTTTATTTGGCATGTTTTCAATGTTCATGTTGTGGTATGTGTTAGTATTTCATTTCTTTAAAGGCCAAATAATATTCTATTATATAGAAAAATGACATAATTTAGTCATCAGTTGTGTATTTGGGTTGTCTCTGCTTTTTGGCTATTATGAGTAACACTGCCGTGAACAAATTCTATGTGGGTGTATGTTTAAATTTCTTCTGGGTATATGACCACAGATCTTAACACTGTGCTGGCTAGACCTTTCAAAGGGAGTCTGCAATCAGACCCTTGTACGAAAAGATTTGCTGTAGGGCCAAGGAATAAGCTCAGTGGTTCCACTGCCTGCCTTGCAAGCGCAAAGAGCGGAGTTCGATCCCCGGCACCAAAAAAAAGAAAAAAAAAAAAAGAAAGAAAGAAAGAAAGAAAGATTTGCTGTAATGAAATACTTTGTAAGACAGCTTCCCGACCCCTCTGAGGGGCAGAGCCCAATGGAGAGCGATGGGGGGGTGGGGGCGCTTCAGGCTGGAAGTACATTATATTCTATTTAATAAGGCAGAAGAATTATTTGGCGCTTTCCCCTGCGTCAGATGGTCACATGTAGCCCTGGCAGCAGCATATCAAGATGTACTCATCAATTCTGAATCCGATTCAAGGCACCAGGCTGCTTCATTGTTTCAGCTTCCTGAAAAGCAGTTGAACAAGAGTTTCTTTGATCCTAAACATATCCATTCTATTACAGTGCAAGCCAACTCAGTAGTTCTGCTGGACCCCAATGAATGATCCACAAGGGTGGTGTTTATGCCATCTAAATACAGCACAGAGATTATGCCAAGATTTATGATTATGAAGCTAAAAGATCTAGAAACTAAAATCATTTTAAAACATGTGTTCTCGCAAAAACTATACTGTCACAGTCAGACTGAGAAAATAAGGAACCTTCAGTCTAGAATTACATATTTACCAAATACACTGTAATCAACAGTCAATTCCTTCTTTCACTTTTTTTCCAGTACGGAATCGAACTCAGGACCTTGTACTTGCCAGGCAGGCAATGCACCACTGAGCTACATCCCTGGCCCAGTCAATTCCTTCTTGAAAGCTGTTCTTTACTCAGGAGGTAACACTGCATAACTGCAGAAAATATACATTTCCTGATGATGTTTCATAAATGGGAGTTATTTATTATTGGTTAGAATTAGGGATCTTCAAAAATACATCTTTAACTTTAATAAGCTCCACACAATTTTGAGTATTTTCTCAAGATACCACAGTCAGTTACTTTTAGCTGGTGGCTAAGAGGGTAAGAACTAATGAAACACCCAAAAGCATGCTACACATAATCACTGTTACTGGGTTTGTAAAAATATACCATATTATATTAGCATATAGGTACCTCGGAAATTGTCCAGTCCAACTCTATTTCAGAAAGAGCTTGGAAAGGACTGTATTTACTGGCAATCACTTACACAATTTAGAGCAGAGTCCA